TAGCCTTCATTTGTCGTTTCATGCCCAGTGGTTGCCAGAGACAGCCTGGGTGAGACGTTTCCACTAGGACAAACCTGTTCACCAAACACAGATGTTACCAGCACTCGCTTTCATTTTGAGTTGATATAGGAAATAGTAACTAGAGGTGCTGTGTAGCAGGAGCCCTTCCAACACTAATGGTTCCTCCGTGTAAGAGCCTGAGAGCCGGCACTGAGTGGTGTGATGGCTTTTATTGAGATCCCCAGATTATAAGGAGCCGTTGTGATCTTCTCTTCTGAACTCTGCATAAAACAAGCCATGCTACTTTCGTGAATTAATTCCTGCTTGAAAGAGGGCACAAGCTTTAGAAAGGTATCCAGTCTTGACTGGGGGGGATCAGTGACACACACTACAGCGTAACCTTTGATAGAAGTGGTTAATTATGCTCTGGAAACGTATGCCTGACTGTTCGTCAAAGCCTCTCCAGCTTCAACTTTCCAGCTTTGGGATTTTTTTTTTTAATTCATTCGTGAGGATTTTTTTTCAGGAGTTGTGTGCCCTCTGTGTTGCACGCTTGCAGACCGATCCAGTAACCTCTTGGCCTTCTCTTCACTAATCTAACAAGACTGAGCTCATGGCTTCTCTGCGTTTTGCTGTAAGTTGTGCCTTCCAGCATTTTAACAACTTCCAGACTGCTTTTGTGCACCCTTCCACCCGCTTTTTCCCTGATCTCTCTTTGTTTGAGTGCCAGGGTATTCCAGATATGAGTCCAATACAGAGCCATGCTGTAAACTTTTACTTCTGATGAAGCCGTCTGCTTTATGTAGCCATTTCCAATTAGCTAATTAATACCCATTGTCACGGTGGGACCTTTCTCTGCTGTTGATTATCTTCAATATTCCCAAACGTGCTAGAGTCACAGCTTTACACAATAATCCTACAGATCGTGACTTTTTGTTTTCCCCCTAGGTGTAGAGATTTAACTCTGCTGACATTGGAATTCTTACAGTAGATTGATTATGAAAAAAATAATAATAAAAAAATACTATTATTCCATTAATGCTGTGTTCACTTTTTTATTTACTTTTTCCCCCCCGAAACTTTATAATTTGCAAACCTTCTGTAGTCATTATTTTCATAGGAATTTGAAATGGGAAAAGTTCTGGTCCATTCAGTCCAGAAAGGGACTGAGTGGCTGCAACCACTCTTGTCTGTGCTTTCATTGTCTGATTAAGCTTCTTCTAACTATTATTGTTTTAAAAATGAAGACAGACCAAACTTAGGCTGGAAATTAGAAAACTTCTATCCAACAAAAGCGTTCTGGAATAGTCTTGTATTTCCCTTTGAATACAGAGGACAAAAGGAAAAGAGGAATTAAGATTTCTGGGTCCTTGCAAAATCCAGTATTGGTGGTCTCCTCACTTCTGGTTGTGTGTTAAGGTCCTTGTCGTGTGCCTGCCCCTTTTTCTTTTGGGAGATGCTGTGTTGATTTCTGGTGTTTTGGCTTTTGTCAGATCCCTGGTGGAAATATAGCTTCATCTCTCTCTGTTTATTTAAAGCTAAATTTGTCACCATCATATGGATACTGGCTAGCCAAGATATGTGTTCTGTAAATCTGTGTCACTGGACATGAATTCTATTATTCTCCTTTAATTCTTTTTTAATAGAGTCTTCTATCATCTGTTCTGTGATTTTTGTCCCTGATCAATATGAGGTGGAGAGGCCAGTAATTACTTGGTCACCCCATTTACCCTTGCAAAATTCTTGGTATGGTGTTAGCTTTCATTTGATTTTCTGGACCCCCTAAATATATGAAAGCATAATAAAAATTGGCATTGATGGTGTAGAGTTTGAAACTGTCATGATTTTCTGATGGAGCAAACTGTTCACACTGCAGCATCCATCTTAATTCAGAATATATGAGGATGTGAAATATCTATTTACAGCTTTTAATTGATGGAATAGAGCTTGTTCAGAGATCAGGCCTCTTATCTAAAACCTCACAAGAGGTACAAATAATGAATTAATTTAGCTGTCGCTCTGCGGCCAGGCGTGTTTTATTGCCCGTGCATTGGTCATAGGTCAGTCTTGAGCATGATAAGATATAACGACTTACACAACTTCTGGTGGGGCTCAGCCAAAGAATAAAAATGTAGATCTGGAGAGTTGCAGCAAGTGCAAGCGGCGGTCAGACACAGAAGCAAATTTGTTCTTGCCCTGTTGCAGTTCAGCAAGACAGTGTAGTGCAAGCTGTTATCAGATCAGCGTGATAGACAAGCTACACATACTGATACGACCTTTTGAAATTTGAGAATTTAATTAAGCCTCCAAATCCATAAATACTGCTTTTTTCATAAAACATTTTCCATTAATTTTCATTTCCAAAGAGCAGTTGGAGAAAGTGCTTTGTTCTCTTGCTTTATGTATGGCTTGCTTTGTTTGACGTTGATGTAAATAATACTACAAGGATGGCAGAATTCAACCACTGAACAGAAAGTCAAAAGTGCTTGTTATAGATGAATGGGATGTTGCAAACTTTACAGTCACACATAAATCTTACTGTACATCCGTGTGATTAATGTCGAACAAGGTTTTTGATTGATGGCTTAGCAACTACTAATCAGGTGTTATGGGACCAAATCATGAAATCCCTTACTTCGTTGGTTAAGGCAAGCTCCTGTTCGCTTAGATAGGCAGGAAACTATCTGTTTTTTTCTTTTCTTTGAAGTGGATTTTAAAGTTCTAGCTTGCTGTGGCTTTTAATAAGTACATGGCCAGGCCACAACTTCTAACACTGAAATATGATAGTTATTAAAATCCTCTACGAGGTCTATGAGAGCAGAACAACTGGATGACTTGAACTGTCTAGACGTAGGGAATAAATTGATGCCGATGACATTGGGTGAAGGCCATGCAGTGCACAACGCAGTGAGAACTGAAAACTTCAGGCTGTTTTTTGAGGCAAGTAGCTGGCAAGATTTTCCAACTGGCCTACGTGTTAACCATGGTGCTTAAAAATCTTAAGGGTTTTAATCTTCATGCAGCAGTTACAAGCCAAATGTCCTGTGGGTTGAAGATCTCTCCTGTCTTAACTTCTCTGCGGCTTGGCTGTGTACTGTAACTGCTGAGCCATGCTTACACTTAATTACTTCGTTCTGAAGAATTTGTGTACTGTTGAATGCAGGGCACTAGAGCAGAAAGAGCTTTGATCTGTCTAGCACAATTTCTGCTATGCTTGAGTTTTATAACTAAAAGATGAACTTCGCAAATAGTTCTCAAAACCAGCTATTTTTGCTGCTTTTACAGCTTTTGACTTTTTCAGAGCCTTGTGTCTAACCATCCTGCCCTGCCTATCTAGTAATACCATAAATTAACAATTTGCTTTTTTTTTCCTAATCTGTGGTGTCTTCAGAATTGTTCTGAATATCTAACTGCAAACTCATCTTCTATTTCACTTTTTAACGAACAGGGATAATTCGTTACATTCCTAGCTCAAACCTCTGTTGGCTTGTTGTAATCTTGGAGCCAAGTGCTGTATTACACGCTTTACATTTTGCAGTCCTGGTTATGAAGTGACACCAGAGTTGTGAAATCCATTATATATAGGTTTCATCCATAATGGGAGAACAAATTGCTAAGTGTTTCTTTTTTTTTCTTTTTTAAACTTGTTTAAGTTTGAGGGTTTAATTATGTTTTTGTGGTGATTTTAAGGCTGTTACAGTAGAGAAGACGAAATGCAAACATGCGAATACAAATGGATTTGGTAAATTACTGTTAAAAATCAGCACAGTGATTATTTTTACTCTTAACAATAAGCATGCATTTTAAAAGCTTGTGCTCAGGTAAAGTTTTAATTGAGGTGTTTCACGAGTTGAAGTTTCTTTGTGTTTGTATTATTTTTTTTCTCCCAAGCTATCCTGAATTGTTTCTAATTAGGGGCATGATACCATTTGCCTAGATATTTATTCCTGTGTAATTTGTTTAAACTTAGACAGCACAGTACTGATGTATTCCTTTCATTACAAGCAACTCTCTTTGATGGGCTTTGACTAGCTAATTATGAAAATGGAACACATTACTAACAGTCTCCGAGTAGGTAGAGTTTTCTGAAAATAGAGACTTTCTGAATGCAATGACAATAGTTAATTTTTAAGGGGTTTCTTTCTATCTTCAGACACAAGGAAATCAAAAGTGAAAGACTTGGAATCTGTTTGTGCTTCTGCAAGGTGGTCTGCAAGGTGGAGTTGCTTCAACAGCATCCAATAGCAGCCCACCAGTCAGGGCTGGAAGGGTTTCGCAAAGGGGACCCTGGTCACAAAAACTGAGACACCCAACCCCTTACTGAGTCTACTGGGCTAGAGGAAAATCAATCCGAAACTACACTGGCAGAACTGATGGCTGTGGGAATTCATATTTTGAGTGGTCAAAGAAGCATGTTTGGTTTGGGAGCTATTAAAGGACAAGTTTTGCAGCATTCCTAGGATTTTTTCCAACAGCATACGAGACCTGCAGCGCATGCACTGACACACACACATGGATGTTTTATATTTCTACATATAAATATATCAAATATATAGGCATACATACGCATATATAAAATAGGCTTTTGTAACTGAACAGATCAATATTGCTAACCTTTATGTTTTTAAGAGCTTTGGTATGTAATCAGTCTGTTAATGGCCAGCCAACAACCCACCCACCACCTCCCTGTTGCTGCTGCTGACAGAATCAGTTTTGGGAGGAGTGGGGACTTCTTGCAAGGTACCTTTGGTACCATCAGGGTTTTGTAGCAGATTGAGTTGGTCAAGGAATGTAAAATGAGCTTTTACCAAATTAGTGATGGTGGCATATAAGTCACTAGGATCTCATTTCTGAAAATAAAGCTAGGTTTTTGTAATTACAATTTTTGAGATTTTTATTAATTTTCCAGCCTTATAGAGTACCTAAAATCCTAAACGTTCAAGTTAGATTATAATGCTGTTTTATTTCAAATGCTGAGTTCCCCTTCCTTCTGGTGGCAGATGCTGCTGACAGAGTATCTGGATATGAAGAACACCCGCGCTGCCTCGGAGCCATCCACCCAGCTTAGCTACGCCAGCTCTGGGAGAGAATTTGCAGCGTTTTTTGCAAAGAAGAAACCGCAAAGACCTAAAAATTCTTTGTTCAAGTAAGTGCTGGGGTGATGTTAAAGCTGTGCCTAACCTATGCTGTTTTTGGTGCCTTGAGTATTGCACAACATTGGGGCTGCTAATTGCAGTTTCACAGTGTGAGAGGAGCGTAAGTTTTGTGATGGATACTTAATGCCCAAAGCTGAAGCCTCAGTGAGGTCTCTGGTATGAATTCATCAGTGGTTTTTAAAGTGTAGTTCCCTCCAGGGCTCATCTTGGGACTGGGATTGCATTCTACAAGCTGCTGTAAAGCTCGCAGTGATGTAAGACACCTATCTTTGTCCACAGTAAATTCAGGACCTGTTAAAGAGAGTGATAAAGGGCACTGGACAAAGAGAATTAAGATAACTGTGTAATTAATAGAGAGATTAAGTGGTTAATCCTATCACTAGCTCCTTTAATTCAGAGTTCGGAGTAGAAAGAATTAAGTGGTTGGGAAGAGAGTGTAAGAGAGGATGAGGCTGGGTGGCCAAAGGAAGGATTTGTGGGAACAAACTTGATGTGCAGGAGTAAGAAATGAGGAGAAATTGTTGGTGAGCAGCACTGTTAGGAGAGGAGAGATGGTCCTGTTATTACACCTAGATTCAGGGGACCTGTGCTGAATTTTCATCTCTTCCCACACCACGTGTGCTGGTCATTCTCTTTGGCCTCTTGAAGATTTTGGGGGATACCAAAATGTGCTGTTGTGGCAGTGAGTGCTCCACATTCAAAGATAACTTAGAGCTTCCTCAGCTCTGCCGGCATAACTCTGTGTGTGGCTGCTCCCTAACTCAGTACTGCCAAAATAATCTGTGTTTGTTTGTTTTTTTTTTTTGACAGTGAGATTGTTCAAACCCAGTTGGTGAGGGAACAAGCAAGTTTCACTGTAGATTTGAGGGAACGGCAGAGTGGAACTGTGGTGGAGAGTGCCAGCAGCTTGAAGCATTAACCTTTTAGTGGTGCTCAGCTGCAGCAGGAGCAGTGTGTCGGATGGGTCCTCAGCACCCCCCTGGACTACAAGCTGCTACAGGGCTTGGGCTGCCTTTCACTACCAGTATGAGCGGTGCTCCGGCTATGAGGCTTTGCTCTCTGGAGTCAAGAGAGTCCAAGGTTAAAAAAAACCTAGTGGAATTTTTGTTGGAGGGGGAGCAATTGGAAGTGAGCTGATGTTTTCACCCCTTATTTGCTGGAGATGGCGATACATGAAGTCTCGGTGTCTCTTCTTAATAAAGAAACCCTTCATTTGTGCTTGGAGGTGGATTGTTAGATGATGGGGAAATAATACAGGAACTTCAGTAATGGGAAAAAAGCTGAGAGTAATTGGCCATTTTGGGCAAGTGGGAGGGGAGCTTTGTGTTTTGCATCTTTTCTACAGATTGTTTGTTGTTTTTTTTTTTTTCTCCAGCTAAAATTTCATTATCCAGAACTCCCTGTGCTTTGCCCTTATCCAGACCTCCCTGTGCTTTGCCCCATGCCAAATGTATCCAGTGTATTCTCATTGTACCTAAGGCGCCAGCTAGAAATCGAAGTCTCCTGCACTGCCTTCTCTCGCTCTCACAGGACGAGCTGTCTATGTAATCTTCTGTTATTAGAAGGTTAACTATTGCCTGGAGGATTTCAGAGGTGCCTCCTGCCCCTGTCAACCCATGGTTATGTCTGCTCCTGTCTCCAAAAAAAAACTTTTCTTTTTAAACACTCCCATGGCTGTTTGGGTTGAGAATTACACTGTTTGATTTTACTCTGACTTGCAGATGTATATTGGAGCAGAACAGGGCTGCTCACCTTTTCATATTGTGTCTGTCATGGGTGTACTTGAACCATGTAAGGTTGAGGAATAAGGATGCTTTGTTTCACCTACAGCAGTTTAATGCTGTGTATTAGTTTGTCAGCAGAGAGTGAAGGTGGGTATAATTGTTTAAAGTGAAGGCATGTACCCTCATAGGAGCAGCATGTCTCTTGCCACTCATGGTCTTGTCACCAAGTCATTGCCAGCACCACAGTGACAGCAGCACTTGCTGGGATCTCTTATTTGGTTATCTGTCTTCTGTCAGCTGTGACTGTATCTATGGAAATCTCCATTGAAATGGAATTTCTCAGCCCACTGAGGGATGTACATGTTTGATGGAGTGTTATTCTTGTCTCCTCTCCCATCTTCAGGGCTTTTCGTGCCACACTGCGAGACTCCTTTTCTTGCCTTTCCATTAGCTCCGTCCAAATCAGAGGAGCCTTCCACTTGTCATCAGAATATCTGCACTTAATTCCTCACTTCTGAAGTCTCTTAGGGCCGGGCTCCACTTCACATTTTCCTCACGGATGCAGGTGTTTGTGCTGTGTCCTGTGATAGCTTGCTGTAAGCTAATTTTATAAATACTAAATACCTTTTTTAGTTGTGTATTCTAGCAACAGTGGGAAGAATGAGGACTCCTCAGTTGTGTCCTGTTGTCTGGAAATCAGTAGTTAGCATTTGGAAGAGACGTTGAGTCATTATTTCCCTATCTTTAAAATGGGTGTAATTTAAAAAAAAGTCATGATGTATTTAGTTGTTTAATGTTGACTTAAAAAAGAAAACTTCAGATGAGGGGTATTTTGTGAATTCAGATAGTTCATGCCATCATGAACCTGGCTTTCTTCTCTTTCAAAAGGTAGCCAAGTGCATGCACATGTTGCTGTCTCCCTACAGATGAGATTCGCAGGATGGAAATTGGGCATTGGGGGGAGAGGAGTGAATTGTACAAGCACATGTTGAATGCCAAATACATTAGTCTCAGGCTTGGCTGTAATTATGTGTAATTCTATGTAAAACAAAAATATTTTGAAAGCTTTTCTGTGCGAGGATCATCATGGGGAACTGAGTTACAAGAGTAGAGGACTTAAGTGTAAAGAGGAGCATAGGAGAACAGCAGACCAGGGAGACAGCAGAGGAGGGGAAGTAGGGGAGAGAAACTGAATGGCTGTGGGAAAGAAGTGAATATGATGAGATCCTGCAGCAAAAGGCAGCGCAGGGCTCTGAGGAATAATCTGAGCTGCTGTCTCAAGGAGGAGACTGAGGTTTATTGCTGTAGTTTGCCTTGACCTGAAACTTCTGGTTTAGATGCTTGGAGAGGACCCCTGGGCCATGGAGATAATGTTGTGCTTAATATCTCACGAGGGGCAAAAGGGAGCACGTCGTAAATACGGACCCAAGAATTTACTGTTTGTTTAATTAAAGTCTTAAGTGTTTGTTGTATTTTGATAGATTATTATTAGTTCAGTTGCAGTAGTAGTAACACTTGCAGTCCAAATTGAAGCAGAAAAGCCTCATTAATAGTAATAACCTTAACATTGTTGCAGAAGAAAGCTTACAAATGCTTTCCCCGTTGTTCTGGTGTGATGCTGGTATTTCCAGTGTCCCTCTGGGCGGCACCAAGACTGATTGAGCCTGCCTTAGCAGAAGGGCTGGGGAGGGGGTGAGGGATGTCACAGCGGATCATCAACGTCTTGAGGTCTTCACCTTGAGGAGTTTGAGGTTTGTGAAAGATGTCTTCCCTCTAAGTCTTGTGTCCCCCTTGGCTACTTGAAGATGCTTTGTCCCCACTGCCTGCTCCCTTCTCCCTGGTCACCCAGCAGAGCTGCCCAGCTCCAGCCCGAGCACACCAAGACCTGGTGTTTGCTGGGCAGTGCCTGCCTGGGGTGGCAGCCCTTGGCCATGCGGGGAGTCCCCAGCGTGGAGCTCAGGCAGGTCAGCACGGTTCCTCGGCCGTGGGACACTTGTGGTCACAGAGACACCCAGCTCGGGGCACAGCAAGCCCAGAGCTGTCCTGAACCCTCGTCGTGTCAGGTCAGTGCCCAGTCTGTGGCCTTTTACTATCAATGGCAAAAATCATGTTTATGGGGCTATGGTAGTTGGAAAACATTTGTCCCTGCCTCTCAGATTGCTCCTTGTGGAGTATTAGAGCAATAAATTATTTATTGCTCCCTAGTTTCTGTGAGAAAGTTCATTTTTAATTTTTATGTATAGGTCAGTGAGCAGTTTAGATGATGGTAGCCTATGACTTTGGTTTGGATTTCACCAGTTTTTGGGGCCATTCCTACTTAAATGCCTGGGTGGTCCCAGCTGGTAGAGCAGAGGAACATCTCGGTTCTTTGCAGGCAGGTCTGTGTCACACGTGGCTGCTGGTAGAGCTGTGCTGATCGCAGGTGGCAGAGTATGGTGCATCAGTGATGGAGTTTTAGAGGAAAAATGTGCTTTGTCTGCCTTGATAATTTTGCTCCAACATGCAGGGAAGTCTTTTTTGTTTAGAGCTGACTGGGTCTTACAAGAAGGATGCTTCTATGGATGGCTAACTGACTGGATTTTATTTTTTTTTTTTAATTACAGGTTTGAGTCCTCCTCCCATGCTATTAGCATGAGTGCCTATTTGCGTGAGCAGAGAAGGGAACTGTACAGCAGAAGTGGAGAACTTCAAGGTGAGGAGAGAGATAATGTGCTAGTTTGGATGATTCTCTTTTGCAGGAGCTTGAATATCTTGTCCATGCTATGTCAGGGTGTTAATACCTCTCCACTTTGCCACACAGGCTGTCTAAATCTCTCCAGTTCTTAAGGTTTGTTTGTTTATTCTTACTATGTTGTGAAGCATCAGGGTTTCTCTTTATTCCCTCTGCATTTTCAACTAGAGGTCCAGGTCTTAAAAGATACTCACAAAACAAGAGTGACATGCAAACAATCTCATCATAAGCATTGCTTTTGGACACTTGGAGCTAATGTCTGCTTCCTTATCTACAGTTTATTTCTGATACGCTGAATGTGATGCTTACCCTGGATTGCTCTGGGAACTTAGCTCAGTCATCTCATATTTGAAGTTGCAAGTTGTATGGCCTAAAGTGACCAGTTCTTTGGCTTTTGTACAAGAAGATGAAGTTGCAGAGTGTTTGAAAATGGTGAATTTGAAGAGTTGGACTACTCTTGCTGGTTTATGTTGCTTGTGGCCAAGTGCTGTACGTGCACAGAGAAGTGTTCTCTGAACATGGCTTAATTTCATATTTTTTTTCCTGAATGGTCTAATTCACAAAAGTGTTGGTTTTGGGAGCAAAATCAGGGGAAGATCTTGAGGCTGTTGTGATAATGTATAGCAGGACTAAGTTCTTTTGTGTCATCTATTCTAGTTTCTTACTGGGCTAAGCATAACAAGAAAATGTTGTGTACTCTCCAGATATTACAGTGATGGACAAGGGTAGAATTTCTCCTTGAAATCTTACTCATGATAATTTTCAGTTGGCTTTTAATTGAGGGTGGTTTATAGTTTACAAGAGAATTTTTGGATGACTTTCTGCTCCCTTCCTCCTTTTTTAACTTACTTGTCCTCAGCGACAAGTTAAACCCACAACAGTGTGAAAAGAAGTCTTGAGAGACATACAGTGTTGCTGTGCACAGATTGCTTCACTTAGGTGGCTCTACAAAGATTATCTTAGTATTGATGATTAAGGATATAATAATTCACTCTATGGTGAATATTCAGCTACTTCTGGGTGGACTGTGAGGAAGAATCTGAGATAAAGATGTACTGAAGTTGACAGTTGCCCACACCATGATCTGACAGCGTATAAGAATAAAATAAAGTGGAGATAACCCGTCTTTTAAGTAATGGTATCACCATTTACGCACACTTGGAAGGTGTTTAGCTTACAGCTCTTTACCGTTTGAGACTCAGGTTCTCACCTTCAAAATCTGTCACACGCTCTTGTGCCCAGCAGCAATGGAAAGAAGTTACCCAGTTCAGCCGGATGTTGTAAAGTGTAAACTGTTATATTGCACCATCATTTTCTTACACCAGTGGGCAGTAGGATTTAAGCAGTTACTTCTACGCAGTTAATAGCTCTATGTTACAAGCTGCATGGGACAAATGTGGGTTCAAAGCCAAGATTTTGAAGCTGTTGAGAGTACTAAGTTTGGAGCAGTGATGGGGCCATCAGGGAGCTTGCAACACTTGCCTCAAAAATTTCAGGTCTCTTTGGGATGAGTTCTGTTGCCTTCTGTCATTCCCAGCTGCCCTCACACCCTGATGCGACCACTTGTCCTTGCTGCTCTAAAACAACAATGGAGAACAGTATTGGCTCACTCCACATCTGTGTCCTCTTCCAGGTACTTTGTAGCTGAGATCTGGGTATTTTTGTGGTTACCATTGCTGTTAGACTGAAATGAGGATTTGTTTTTTAAATAGCTCCTTTCCTGGGTCTAGAACTTGTTACTGATAAGCACAACAAGATTTCATGAAAACGTGACTCCTTGTTTGATATAAGACAAATGTTGAGGCAAATCTTGTCTGGAGCGGGAGATTGTGAGCATTTTCAAGAGAGGAGGGTGCAGGAGAGAACTATGCAGACTTCCAGCTGCCGAGCTGGCGCTGCGTTGGGAAGAACAAAGCCTATGAGCTGACAAAGTAGTAAAGGACAGAACATAGGAATTAGTGTGGATAGGGACAAGATTATATTGCCTTTTCTGGATGAATTGGACGAGTTTGAACGTGATGCAATAGGTGACAAAAAGTCAATGTAGGGAGTCAGGAGGGACAATAGATGAGATGACTTTGCTGAGAAATCTTTGCAGTTTAACCATCAAGAAAAGTTTCCCTTTGAACTTTATGTTAAAAATGTACTATCCTCTCTTTCTATTATAAGCTGCTGGTCCCTTTTAGTTAGCTCATTAATCTTCCCGAATCCCAGACCACAGCAAGATCTGCATTTTGATTTTTTTTTTTTTACCTCTTTTAAAGAGAAATACAATTTAATTGTTCAATCAGGTTACTGGAAGGCAGGCATGTGACACTCTCTTCTGTGACTGCCACACAGTTTCTCTTCCTGACAGCCTTATCCACAGGGATGATTTTTCAGTGGCAGCAGGGGGAGGGTGGCTTGTTAGGAAATCCTTTTCCTGAAAAAGATCTTCAAAGAAACGTACGCATTAAAAAAAAAAAAAAAAAAAAGAACTTATAAAAGTTTGGCTCATGCCAACTTTTTTAAATAAGAATTTAATTTAAATAGCCTTAAAATCTGTGAAGATCAGAGTGATGCTTTGTCATTAACCTCTTTCATTTGGACTGAAATAGCGCAGCGCGTAAGGCACACATTATCCCTCAGTGGGAGAAAGGGACCTGCTGTAAGTGATTTAGAGATGGAAGGATTAATTCTTGTGTCTCATTCCACTGAAATTGGAGGATGAAGACTTAGGCCATGTGTTTTTCCCTTGAAGTTAGACACACAAGTTGTTTGACAATTGTCATTAAAAAGAGGAGGGGGAAAAAAACAAGTACATAACTGAAATATCTCTGTCTAAACTAACACAGATGTGGTGCCCCAGGTTGTTGTCAGAAGTACAATGTCAGAGGTGGTTTCTTCTGCACAAAACAAGAAATGATCATCATTAAGCTTCTCCCTTCTTCTTTTTCCCCAAGAGCCTGTCTTGGCCATGTGCTGGCTGGGGAATTTACATTTTCCCTGTTGGAGCCCTCCTGCCTTCTGTCAAATATGATGTTCTGTTTACAGACAGTCTTAAGTAATGGGGGGTATATTTTAAAAACAAGTAAGTTTATTCTATGAGCAACTGAATAGATGAAGCCTTGTTCATCTCAGATGTGTCTCCTTTTCTCCCTTAACGCCTTTCCTTCATTAGCCACACTTCTCACCATGTCTCTAAACTTGCTTCATCCCCCTCACTTCTTTCTTCTTGGTACCTACCAGCACCTGCCTATGCCCCTGAACCACCCTCTAAGCAAAAGCAGCTTGTGCCATGGTTGGATCAAGTGAAGTACGTACCGAGCAAGCAGCCCCGTGGAAGCAAATGTGCTGGTTCCTGCCTGGCTGGTAGGTCCAACAGCGCGGAGAGCTAACATGTCCTCACTGCAGCTTTTCCTTCCGTGGAGGCACATGTTTATCCTGCTTTCATCTGCATGGCTCTCTGTTTTCACAAAACTTATAAAAGTTTACTGCTTTTAACATCTATGCCTCTACCATGTTTGGCAGCAATTGGCTCACCAGCTCAATTGTTGTGAGGATGGCAGACAGAAGATCAGATAACTTATTTTCACCAGAAACTAGGCTAAAATGTTGCTGTATTTCACTGCAGAGGTGGTTGCTTGTCACTGACTGGTGGAATGAGTCCCATGTGTGCACCTTGTTTCATTCCACTGCTGCCTTCAATTTCCAATGATTTCTTGGGAATAAAAGAAAAATACGGTTTCCTGTCGTTGAGGGAGGTCAAGTACTGTAGGAGGGCGTCACTGGGGCTGCACGTTAAGGCAGGAGACAATCTACAGAGGCCTTGAGGGTTTTTTCATTAAACTGAACATAACTGATATCTGGAAAACATGGTTTCAGGCAAAAATTAAAGGAAAGACCACTACGAATAGTGTCTGTGCATGTCTGGATTTCTGATTGCGTATTCTGGTGATGTTTTTTAAAATCACTAACCCAAGTTTTAATTTCATTGTACTGAGCATGGTACAGACAGGATTTCTGCATTGCACATACCTGAAAGGACTAGTTTTCACATGATCTAGCAGCCTTCACCAGCACAGTTGCCTTGCATGAGTGTCTTGAAGTCTGTCTTCCAGGGGGTTTACATGTCTGCACTTTGTGGGGCAGGGGCAAAGGGGCAGTGGCAGGAGCTGGATTCTGGAGATGCGAGTCAATAAAAAAAAAAAAAATAAATGTAAGCCAACAACAGACGTGAAAGGAGCCGTAACTGAAAATGGAAAGCTCAGCGGACAATAATCTTTATTTCAGAAGGTGCTCAATATGAGTCAGTGACCTTCCTTACTCGTGGATAGCCGCGTGTGCGTGGGATTCGGAAGACCTGGGACAGGAGAGCTCTGAGGGCACGAGATGTGTCTCCAGCAGCCGTACAGCACGCTGCTCCCTGTTAGCTGGTAATTTCTAGCACGATATTACTGTGTCTAAGATGGTGTTGGTTGTAGGCTCCTTCGAGATACCTCAGGTATTGCTTCGGAGTCCGGTGGCCATGGGGAATTCACGTAGCTGTATATTGTGCTCACGGTAACCGTAGCCTCAGTTTAGTTATCAGTAGAAATGGGAAAAGACATTTTTATGTGCTGTGAAAATCTGAAGCGCCTCGAGGGTGCTGATCAGCACGGAAAATAGCATCCGGCTTCTCTGTTATCTGCGCGTGCAGGCCCTGGAGTTCCTATCAAGGTGAGCTTTGCTGGTGGTGTACATCTGGGCCGTTTTTAGGAACGAAATGTTAAGTGCTCCTGAGCAGCTGTTGTTCCCCTGGATGTTAATGGGCTCCACAGCTGCTCAGCACCTCTTAAAATTTGGGCTTGTTATTTCCTTCACCCTGGAACTTCAGTGCACTTCAACATTAATTAAACTTCTCAGTGTCTTCGCAGAGTGGGATTTTATTTGGATTGTAAGCTGTGTGAACTGTGGCACGTGATGCATCGTCCTAGGAAGGATGATGGGAGCAGAATTAGAGTGA